CCTGGGGGATGGAGGGGACACGGGGACAATGGGGGGACAATGGGGGGACACCCGGGGACACGGGGACACCTCCTGGGGGATGGAGGGGACACGGGGACAATGGGGGGACAATGGGGGGACACCCGGGGACACGGGGACACCTCCTGGGGGATGGAGGGGACACTGTGGGAACACCATGGGGACACTGTAGGGTCACAGGGACACCTCCCAGGGGGATGGAGGGGATGGTGGAGACAGGGACACAGGGGGACACTGTGGGGACACTGTGGGGCACGGGGACACTTCCCTGGGGACAGAGGGGACGGTGTGGGGACACTGTGGGGACAGGGTGGGGACACTGTGGGCACGGGGACACTTCCCTGGGGACGGAGGGACTGGTGTGGGGCACAGGGACAGAGGGGACAGGATGGGGTTGGGAACAGGACACACGGGGGTGTCCCTGGGCCAGCCCCCCCCCCCCCACTGGACCCCCAATTCCACAAGGAACGAGAGGGTGGGAAGCCCCAGGAATCCCATTCCCAGCCCGGGAGTCACGTGTCCCTGCGGAGCATCCCGGGATTTATGGAGACAACCCGGGGGGAGTGACCCCCCCCCCAAAACTGGGGCCAAATCCCGGAGATCCCGGGACTCACCTTCTCACTCAGGGTCTCCTCATCCCTCTCCAGGTCCTGCAGCCTGTGGGGACACCGGGGGGTCACCACGAGGATTTGGGGAGGGACAAAGGGACACCCCAAAATGGCCGGGATGGCTCCGGGGGGGACACACGGACACGGATCGGGGCGGGAGGGGGGATTATTCCCAAGGGGAATCTGGGAAGGGGGGTCAGTGCCCAGGACACCCCCCAAGGGAGTTGGGGGGGGGGTTGGGGCCACCCCCCGTGTCCAACCCAGGAAAAGCCCCCGGAGAAGCCCCTGGGAAGCCACGTGTGCCCTTCCCATGGGACAAAGCGGCCGCGGGGGGTGGGGGGAAACCCCCCTTCCCGACCCCATCCCGGCTCCAGGGGAGTCTGTCCCCTTCCCGACCCCATCCCGGCTCCAGGGGGGTCTGTCCCCTTCCCGACCCCATCCCGGCTCCAGGGGGATCTGTCCCCTTCCCAACCCCATCCCGGTCCCTGGGGGTCCCATTCCCGACCCCATCCCAGCTCTGGNGGGGATCCCTGCTCTCCATCTCCATCCCACCAGGAATCGTTGGGCACCAAGGCAAGAAGACCCCGAACCCCTCCCTGAGGGGGGACCCCCACCCTCCATCCCACCGGGAACCGGCGCTTCACGGCAACAAAACCCCGGGAGAAGCGTCTGGAAAACCCCATCACCCCCCCCGTCCTCACTTCTGCTCTCCCCGTTGGATCGGCTCCTCCGGGCCTTCCTCGCCCTCGGGACGGGGCCCGGCAGGGACGGGGAGGAGGAGGAGGAGGAGGCCACCCCTTCCTCCATGTCCCCGGCCCCGTCCTGCTCCTCGTCGCTGCCGGAGGCGCCGTTGCGGGCCCCGTTGGCCCTGTTGGTGGCCCCGTTGGCCCTGCTGGTGGCCCCGTTGGTGGCCCTGTTGGTGGCCCCGTTGGGCGCCGTGGTGGCCCCGTTGGTGGCCCCGTTGGTGGCCCCGTTGCCCGTTGCCGAGAGCTCCTGGTGCAGCAGAGCCTTCACCTGCGCCAGGTACCGCTCCTGGGGAGGGAGGGGGGGGAAGCCGGGATGACCCCCCCGGATCTGGGACAGCCGGGAAAGCCGGGAAATCTGGGAAAGCCGGGAAGGCCAGGCGGGGGTCCGGGGGGAGCAGGAGCCCAGGATGACCCCCCCAGATCCAGGAAAGCCAGGAAAGGGTCTGGGGGGAGCCCAGGATGACCCCCCAGATCCAGGAAAGCCAGGCAGGGGGAGCGGGAGCCCAGGATGACCCCCCAGATCCAGGACAGCTGGGCGGGGGTCCGGGGGGAGCCCAGGATGACCCCCCCGGATCCAGGACAGCTGGGGGGGGGTCCGGGGGGAGCCCAGGATGACCCCCCCAGATCCAGGACAGCTGGGGGGGTCCGGGGGGAGCGGGAGCCCAGGATGACCCCCCAGATCCAGGACAGCTGGGCGGGGGTCCAGGCGGAGCCCAGGATGACCCCCCGGATCCAGGACAGCTGGGCGGGGGTCCGGGGGGAGCAGGAGCCCAGGATGACCCCCCCAGATCCAGGATGGCCGGGTGGGGGTCTGGGGAGAGCCCAGGATGACCCCCCGGATCCAGGACGGCCGGGTGGGGGTCCGGGGGGAGCGGGAGCCCAGGATGACCCCCCAGATCCAGGACGGCCGGGTGGGGGTCCGGGGGTAGCCCAGGATGACCCCCCGGATCCAGGACAGCTGGGCGGGGGTCTGGGGGGAGCGGGAGCCCACCTCGGACAGCTCCTGGCAGCGCAGCTTGGCCTCCAGCTCCCCGAGCCGCCGCTGCGCCTCCGCCTGCAGGAAACCCTGGATCAGGCTCAGCCGCTCCCGGACGCTCTCCTGGGGGACACGGAGGGGACACGGGGACTGTGGGGACAATGGGGGGACACCCGGGGGCACGGGGACACCTCCTGGGGGATGGAGGGGACACGGGGACTGTGGGGACAATGGGGGGACACCCGGGGGCACGGGGACACCTCCTGGGGGATGGAGGGGGCACGGGGACTGTGGGGACAATGGGGGGACACCCGGGG